TATAATAAAACAAATAGATTCAAAATTTTGGTGAGTGTATAATAATGGCATAATGTAGCTCTGTCTAAAATAGTAATGAAGTTTAGCAAATGTAAACAACTGTTGTTAACTGTACTTAGTTACTATCTTAAATTGTTTGGGACTCTGCATTTTTACATTACTGTATGTTTCTTCACTGCTCTCATGGGTAAATAATGACTTAACTTTATGTAGTATTTTTGTACTTTATATATACTTTATGTAGTATATTTACCACAGTACAGGAACACTCTACCAGCGATGCATTCTTACTGTCGCATAGTATATATTGTCATACTGCTCTTGCCTAGTAGGAATCTGTCATATGTCGGGTAGATATTTAAAGGAGCCTGTTGTGTTGTATTACAGAAGGTTGTCTGAATTGCTTGTGGTTGGCCGTTGTATTGCCATGGTGACAGTGAGGGGTTGGGGCCGTGGACATGGGTATGAGCGGGAAGAACACAGTCGAGGTTTAACATTAACAAACATCAGCTGTAAAAACTCATAAAATGACACAAAATAATAATAACACATCACAAACACAACATGACAGTTTGTTCTCCACAGTGACCTGCAGTGGCAGAAAAAGGCACAAAGACTAAACCACACAGATCCAGAACGCTTAAGTGTGTCAGTCCCTGAACAGAGAAAAAGCAAAAACTGTTAACTACAATACACACAGTCGTAGATGTGTGCAAGCATGGCTGTCAGGAATAGAGATTAGATAAGAGATGGAGAGAAGCGACAGAGAGAATTTCCTTTTCAACCACCAGATTAACACATGTGCACAATGATAGCTCACTATTTAAAGGGGTCATTTCATGCATTTTTATTGTATTATTTCACTCCTGGATGTCCATTTAGAATGCAAGTTAAGCTTTTTGAACTGAAATATGACGCAAAAGCAATTCAGATCAGGCTGAAATGTTTTGAGACCTGAAGCCTGAAATGTACGTCATTTTTTTTTTGTTTGATTCAATAGTTAATATGGACTTCATGCACAAGAAAACATTTTCAGTTATGTGTGATATTTATAGTTATAGTCTAGTCATGATTAATTTATTCGGTGAGAGAAAGGTAATTAAAGTGGGGGGTCTAATTCTATTTCATGCATTCCAAGTTATTTACACTGTTAAAGAGTTGGATTCTCATGCTAAACATGGCAAAAGTTTCAAAAAAATTACGTATGATGGAGTATTTCTATGCCAAATGATTAGATTTGCCACAATCTTTCCGGGTTCGTGTAAGTTTCGAAAAGTTTTTTTTCCAACAATGTCGTCGGCAGCGCTAGACAGGACTTGCTTGAGAAGAATGTCTCCAAAGAAGTGTGTTTTTGGTTGTAAGGGAAAGATAACCTTGCTCAGGTTCCCAAAGAACCCAGCATTACGTGAACAGTGGATGCAGTTTGTTTTTCCGGGGCAGCAACAGGGTTTCGCAAGTGTGTTTGTTTGTTCCCGTCATTTCGGTGATGAATGTTTTTATAAACAAGGTCCAGTTCGACACTGGATTTGCACATTGTTTGATACTGAAAGATGGAGCGGGCTCAGCGATAAAAGATCGTGGTCATGATTCGGAACCAGAGAGTAAAAACTGCATCAAATTTCAATGTTTTGTTGGCAATCGGTGCGCAAGTGCTCGTGACTCTTTAAAGGGGTCATATGATGCGATTTCAATTTTTCCTTTCTCTTTGGAGTGTTACAAGCTCTTGGTGCATAAAGAGGATCTGTAAAGTTGCAAAGACTAAAGTCTCAAATCCAAAGAGATATTCTTTATAAAAGTTAAGAGTCAGCAACGCCTACCTAAAACGGCTCG